ACAGGGAATGACCCTCCCAGCCAGTCACGACTTTCCGCAGTATGTTGCCGGGATGCTGGTCCATCGATCACCACAGACAGCGCATATGCATGTTTCTTCGTGGACCAGCCGCAGCTTGCAGCCCGTAGCCCGGACACCAAGCAGTACGACAAGGAAGCAGGCAGCGTGATGGCTGCATTCGTGTACGCCAGGCAGGCCCATTGGCGGGTTACAGCAGGTGGCCCAGGTGTCGAGGACTAGGGCCAGGGGTGCAAAGGCGAAGAGACGAGCACGACGGCCTTCACTGCGGCTGCGTCACGGTGGGTAGCATGGCACCTTGCCTTGGAGGGCTGCTGGGGAAGAGGGGGCCAGACTTGCTGGGCAAGCTGGGCAAGCTGGGCTGCTTGGATGGACATCGCATTAGGCTGGATGGATGTTGCGCTGAGCCAGAAGGACGGGCGAGTCGATCGCGTCCAGTCGCATGGCTGTGGACGCGCCGCTGGCACACCTGTAGATCAGCGGGGAGAGGGGCCCCCCTTGCTCGCATCGCCGAACCAGATGCCCCGGATCGCCTCTTGCGCGATCTTGGCTGCTATCCGGGCCTGGCAGGTTCTTGGCCCGCCCTCGCCGACCTGCCCAATCCGTCCTTGGGGTGCTGGTACCTGCGTTGTGACGCAAGAGTGGCGTCGTCCGAAAGGTTCTCTGAAACACAGGGGCTGCCCGCGTGTGAACATCTTAATATCGAGTCGCTCCGCGATGCTACCCATCAAGCAAGGAAATTGACCGGTTTAGCGCTGCACCTGGACTGCCGGGGGAGGGTAAAGCCATGGTGATGGTCAGGAAAAGTGAGGTGTTGACAGGGTAGGCTGCGGATTTGGTCGGCCGCGCCATCGTGCATGTTCTCACGGTGGCCGCGCCTTGCCCGGATTGCCGCGTCTTACCCAGGGCAAGAAAAGGAATGAGGAGCCCGGGCCTCTTGAACAGGGAAGGTGTGCATCGCATGACGGCCATCACGGCTGTGCACGGAAGGTGCGACGACAGGAAAAAACAACAGCGAGACTGGTGTTGAGCACTGCCCATCAGACGGAGGCCGAAGGCACCACACCACCAGATCATCCGTGGCATTGGGTGGGATTGTTCAGAAAATCCCCTTTCATCCGTGCCGGCGATGTAACCTGGGTCAGAGTGTCGGTGGGACAGTGGATTGCGATTTGCTCTCCGAATCGAAAATCGACATCGAAAATCAGACTCCGTCCTTGGCCAGCTGTGTTGCGCGTACATGGTCTTGGGAGGGCAAAAATGATGACACTCGGTGATGACACCTGGGTCCAAGAGACGAGGGAGATCACCATGTCCAGATTTGAGTCCAACTCTGGACCGAAACTTTGTGCGGGAAGAGACTTGGCATAATGTAAGTTGCGGATCGCTCCATGATCACGTCCCATGTGGTGCCTTTTTCGGAGACGAGCTGCCCCATCTGTCGAGAAAGTTCCTCGCCCAAAACCATCATA